ATGTCAAAGGCTTCGTGCAGTAACGCATATTATTTCCTGACAATTTCGATTTTGCCCCAGAAGGAAGGATTGGATGTAGTGAATATCATCCGCAAGATATCAGACTTACTTGTGGACTGCCCTTCTGCTACTAAAATTATTCACAAGTTCAAAATCTCTGCGGAAGCAAGGATGATCGCCATGGTCGAAGTGTCCGACATAGCTGGGCTGGAACGAATATTATTAAGCATCTGGAAACTGGGACCTGTAGAAATAGACAGTCAACCAATTATACTCTACGAGACCTTTGCGAAGAACATGAAAATCGCCAACGATCTGTGCAAACCCAGTAGCTGCAGTTTGGCAAAAGAAGGCATATATTGGCTTGAATTCAACATCGAGTATCACGGGAGAACATTCGACGAGTTTCTGGAAATCTGGAAGAAAGAAGCGGAAACAGTGTTGACCCGCAGAAGTAAAGGGGAGGCCAGTCTGGAGTTGTTCAAGTGTCTAGCTCAGAGGAAGGTTCATGTGATGTTTAACACCACAGATCCCGCACAGTTGGATCTTCTGTCTTTTCAGCTGCCAATTATGGTGGAGAATGGCGTGAATATTCGTGTCAAGTCCAAGGGTGTACAATACCTTGATGACTACGTGCAGAGCATGCGCAGCGTTAAGTTGTAAATTACAGCAAGATATTAATCTACAAAGCAAAGAGAGATAATCGATAAATATTGTAAACTGCAAAACGACAAACTAATTAGCCACATATATAGTATGTAACAGGGACATCCATCACTGTCGCCGATTGTTATCGACATTTCAAGCAACTGAATCTCCAATCGCCGATTATTATCGACCATTTAAGCAACTGAATCTCCAATCCCTGATTGCTATCGACCTTTTAAGCAACCGAATCTCCAATCCCTGATTGTTATCGACCTTTTAAGCAACTGAATCTCCAATCCCTGATTGTTATCGACTTTTTAAGCAACTGAATCTCCAATTGCCGATTGTTATCGACCTTTTAAGCAACCGAATCTCCAATTGCCGATTGTTATCGACCTTTTAAGCAACCGAATCTCCAATTGCCGATTGTTATCGACCATTTTAGGCAGCTGAATCTCCAATCCTCACAAAGAGATTTAACACAATTACAGAGAAACAGTATAACATTTGCAACCATAGCAAATGATATTAACATACAGGTAAACATTAGATATCAATGAGATCTACGATGCCAGCTATTGTTACCGCTATATCAAACAGGTTCTCTGTATATTCAACCGCAATGCAAAGAGAGACAGTAGAGAAAATTCAAATGTGAGAAACGTCATTAACATTTATGTGAACATAATATATCAGCAACATTTATCAGTTGCTATTGTTAGCTGTTGTTGCTGCCCTGTTTAACATGTGATTTTCTAATTCAGACATGGATGTTTTTCACAATGCAGAGAGAGGCTCAAAAACTTCACATATCATACATTCTCCAACAGTCATAAGAATCCTGTATAACAATGACACTTCCAATTGTCATGTGTTATTACCGCTGTATTAAACAAGTGAATTCGATCAATCACATAAGGATTCTCAACAATAATTCAAGCAAAGGCAGTCTAGAAACTTCAAGTACTGTGTTACAAATTTGACATCTATAGAAATTGTGTGTGTGTGTATATATATATACCAATCACATCAATTGCCACCGTTTTATCAAATAAGTGATTTTGTAAATTAAACAATGATATTTATTCTCAATGCCAGGACAGACAATTGAAAATTATTTCAACCTTTAAGAATATCACAAATCCCTAAAACCAATGTGACCTTTATTTAGTAGGGACACAATCCAACACAAGTGTTTTATATGGTTACATGTTGAACTGTGATTTTGCTCTTGTTGTATTCGTATCGGAAAAGGCTGTCAATTTTTTCAGACTAAAATTCTCGAGAGGAAACAAGAAAAAGAAGGAACTCATAATGTCGCCAGCTGTTTGTTTTATATACGTATCTAAATTCTAAAATAGTATTCACCCACAAACAAAGAGAGACAACCAAATAATACTTCAACCTCCGGGGCAAATACGTTACATTAAAAATTCCGTACGTTCTTTTCAGGACGTAATTTTTTCTTATTTGAAGCCCCACTATGGCTTTTGCCAGGGGCCGCAATATAGGCAGGCCATCAATATGACCAAATGTCTGAACGCGGTTTCTGGGACCTCTCCACGGTGATCCTCATCCGCATGGTGGCACTTTGTGTCATCGGGTGTTTATCGCTTGTGTGATGTCCTGGTGGGGTAGAAAGTCAGTCAGTCAGTCATATGTTTCATTGACATACTTATGGATATTAATTTTGTACAGGTACATAATTTGCCAGGGACATTATGCCAACTTTCATACTATTCATCATCATCATCGTCATTAATGTCCATGTTTGCTGTTAAGCGACATGGGAGAGGAACATTCTTCAATGCATAGCTCTATTGTGACAGAGGTTTCAACATTCCTAATGCCGCGACCCTTTAACACAGTTCCTTATGTTGTGGTGATTTCCAGCCGTATAATTAATTTCGTGTTACTTCATAACTTCTGTGAATATGTGTTTTCCCATGGTCTTAGGCGACCCCAGGTTGAGAACCGCTGCTCTGTGAGAAGCAGTCAAAACTATAATTCTGGGTCGAATTAGAATGTCGTTAACGTCCTCAGTCCATTTATTCTTCTTTGGCGCCCTCTTGCTTTCACACCGGATCTGTTAATTGTAGTGCCTGTGTTGCTAGTGACTTCATGTTGCAGCATGAAAGACACTCTACGCCCTTACGGCAACTAGCGTGCACTGGATCGCAAATTATTCATCCCCATGACGCTTAACAGCAGAAGTGATTGATGATGATGATGTACATGACTACCGTTGTCCTGAGAGCACATTTCGCTGCGTGTCCTCCCCTACTGAAGAACACGTAAAATCACAGCTATGTTGGTGATATATTTACATTTGCCTATAATGGAAACTTCTGGAACACCCTTATCTGAGCAAGCTATTAGGTAAGAGAGGTAGAGAGGGACAAAGCATTTGTAGAAAGCAAACATAGCTGAACAAGTAGCAACAACATTATTGAAAAATCGGATGAAAGAGGGGATTAGAAAATCATCATTTTAAATATGAATGAATGAATGAATGAATGAATGAATGAATGAATGAATGAATGAATGAATGAATGAATGAATGAATGAATATTGGATTAATGAATGTATGAATGAGTTGAATTGACATCGCTGCCCCTGGGTCATTTACGCACGTGCTCCGTGTCATTCCTCAGTAGCCAACGGAGAGTCTTAAAATTAACAGTACCATTTGCACCCTGAATAAATGTCTGCTTGTTTACCCTCATGAATATCTTCCACATCCCTTGCTCATCCTGTTCTCAATTAGTTTGTCAGTGTGTGAATTGTCGGTCTCCTCTGCAGCACTCTCCACTTTATCCCACAGATCCTTTAAGATGTACGCTTTGTCATAGAGTAGCTCAGAACCCTTAGGAGCCGCAGCAGCCGGTCTATCAGCCTGCTCGTAACCCCGTACACCAAACATCCTGGACAGAAAATCCATAATAGGCTCCGGATCTGAGTTGTCACATCAAGCGACGCAAGCCACTCTACGTGTAACATACTAGTTTCTAAAGCCACTCTACGTGTAACATGTAATTTTCTATTTTCCACAGCATGCAGTGTGAATCCATTTTAAATGTATGCCACAATCCGGGAACCCGGACGTAACATTATTGTCCTGTCTTTTTTATGTCTCATTCAGCCTGGTTTTGTGAAATATCTGTGACATTGTTCATTTGTTTCTCAGAGAATGACACAAAATAAAATACACAGGTTTCATTCATTGTAAAACAAGCAAATGTTACAAAAGTAATGTTTATTTTAACAGGTGATATTGTTAAGTGGAGTTAACAGCTGACACCACACCACTGGAGACATTCCCATAAGCGCTTCGTCCTTATCTTTAGCAGCCAGCGAATGATAATAGATTATGTAAAGACGCGGAAGTTACGGTATTCTTTAGTGTGAAAGTAAAGAGAATATTTCTTTGATATTTTCCCCTTTCAAGATTGCAGCCTAAAGTATTGATATCCAAGGACTCGTAGAGCAGCTGTTTCGCATTATAATCTAGCTAAATAGTATAGACAGACCAATCTAAAAACTCGCTAGCACGGAAGATAAACTAATAAATAATAGAGACTGGTTTCCTCCTAAATTAAGGCCCAGTTCACGTTTCCCAGCCCATCTACACGCTGCCTGACCTTTCATTCATACTTTTTCAGACTCTTTTACGTCGGAAGTAAGTCACCTTGTCTTGCCTCCTATACTACGCGACGACACAGCTTTCAAAGACCCCAGAACATCTAGAACTGGCCCTAACACAAACCCTCTACCCACAGCCTGAGCCTAGGTTACACGAAAGACTCCCTGTAAAGAATAAAGTAGTAGAAAATGTATTGATGGGCACTCATAGAAAAAAGGAGAAAGATAGAAGATCACAATAGACAACATAAAACTCGAAAGCTATAATTAGCGTGCCAGGAATCAAATTTGTCACCCCCAGACAGCTTCTGCGCCTCGCTATGGAAACAAGTGCACTAAGAGCATGGTCAACTAGCCCCCTCCCCTCCCCCTAAGAAAAAGGTGTCTTATTGGCCATGTCTATCGAACAGCTTAAAATCCGCAACTATGGAATACGGACAGAATTCATTTCAAACCATTGAAATGGCCCCATAGGTTTCTTCAAAAAAAGCAGTACAACATGACACCCCTCTGACCTAGATCAGACTGGCAAAGTGTGTAGACTGGCCGGGAAACGGTAACAGGTCTTAAACTCGCTAGGATAGAAGATTAACGAATGAATAGTAAAGAGAGACTTTATCTTAAAACTCGCTAGGACAGAAAATAAACTAATAAATAGTACAGACTGGTTTCAGCTTAAAATTCGCTGGGACAAAAGGTAAACTAACAAAAAGAATGGACTTGTTTCATGTTAAAACTGGCTAGCACAGAAGGTACACTAGCGCAGTTAAGAGGAGACGAACGTTGAACACGGGGTAGACCAAGAACCATATGGGCAGATAAAAAGATAACATAAGAGAAACTATCAGAGAGTACAACAGCATTAAGCGTCAATGGTAGAGGCGGTCAGAAGAGCAAGAAAAATATTCTTATTTTTCCTTGGACACCCGAAGCAGTAAAAAAAAAAGGGAGTGAAAAAGAAGCAGAAGAAGAAGCAGAAGAAGAAGAAAAAAAAGAAAGACGAAGAAGAAGACTCGAAGAAGAAGAAGAAGAAGAAGAAGAAAGAAGAAGAATCTTAGAAGAAGAAGAAGAAAAGAAGAAGAAGAAGAAGAAGAGTAAGAAGAAGAAGAAGAAGAAGAAGAAGAAGAAGAAGAAGAAGAAGAAGAAGAAGAAGAAGAAGAAGAAGAAGAAGAAGAAGAAGAAGAAGAAGAAGAAGAAGAAGAAGAAAAAGAAGAAGAAGAAGAAGAAGAAGAAGAAGAAGAAGAAGAAGAAGAAGAAGAAGAAGAAGAAGAAGAAGAAGAAGAAGAAGAAGAAGAAGAAGAAGAAGAAGAAGAAGAAGAAGGAAAAGAAGAAGAAGAAGAAGAAGAAGAAGAAGAAGAAGAAGAAGAAGAAGAAGAAGAAGAAGAAGAAGAAGAAGAAGAAGAAGAAGAAGAAGAAGAAGAAGAAGAAGAAGAAACAGATAAAGAAGGAGTTACAGTAATTTCTAAAACACTGTTTTAGTGAAAGGACAGAGAGAGAGAAAGACAACGATGAAACAAGAAGCAGGGTGGTGACGTTAACGTCCACGTCGAAGCGCTGCACTGTTTGCGCAGACATGCAAATGATGGTGTCACCAGAAAAATGCTGTGTCATGGTGGGTTACGAAGGATGAGCAAGCTAAACTATAGCCGGATGTTCGTCAAAGTGCATTTCTCTCTCTCTCTCTCTCTCTGTCTCTCTCTCTCTCTGTCTCTCTTTTTCTCTCCCCCCACCCTCTGTCTCCCTTTGTGTGAGTGTGTGTGTATGTGTGTGTATGTGTGTGTTTAATGTTTTAACGATCATGGGAACGATCGCAGTGGTAGCCAGAAGGACACCCTGAAACCAGAACGTTATTTCTAAAGTGATTAAAATGTTTCTCTTTCTCTCTTCCTTTCTCTCTCTCTCATATATATCCCGAAACGACAGACACACAGATGGATTAACAGACAGACAGACAGACAGACAGACAGACAGACAGACAGACAGACAGACAGACAGACAGACAGACAGACAGACAGACAGACAGACAGACCGACCGACCGACCGATAGATAGATAGATAGATAGATAGATAGATAGATAGATAGATAGATAGATAGATAGATAGATAGATAGATAGATAGATAGATAGATAGATAGATAGATAGATAGATAGATAGATAGATAGATAGATAGATAGATAGATAGATAGATAGATAGATAGATAGATAGATAGATAGATAGATAGATAGATAGATAGATTGGTTTGATAGATTTGAGGTGTCAAGAACTGACATCACAGCACTCGGAGCATTCCAATGCGTGCTCCGTCCTCATCTTCAGCAGCCAGTGCAGAGTTCCTGATAGTACCGGTCACAATCTGGTTATATGTCCGTCTTGCCTTTCCTCTGAGTGTAGTGAGCCGGCCAGACCCTCTGGTTACACATTCCATTGCTTGTTCCGAAAGCTTCCTGTCAGTATCTGCCTTGTCGTGTATCAATTCACCACCCAGTGGTGCAGATCCAGCCTATCTGTCTGCCTGTTTATTACCTACTACGCCGTCATGCCTGGAGAAAAGATTCAAAGTATGCTCATTACCCGTGACCTTTCCAGTGAAGCTTGCCACTCTCCTTGAAGCATCCCTGTCTTCACCTTTCTCAGCATGCTTTCGGGGTTAGATATATAGATTGACAGACAGACAGACAGACAGACAGACAGACAGACAGACAGACAGACAGACAGACAGACAGACAGACAGACAGACAGACAGACAGACAGACAGACAGACAGACAGACAGACAGACAGACAGACAGATAGGTAAGTAAATAGGTAGGTAAAGACAAATAGACAGACAGACGGCCAGACAGACAAAATAGTCAGATAGATAGAAAAGATCCAAAGTATGCTTACTACCCGTGACCTTTCCAGTGAAGCTTGCCACTCTACTTGAGGCATCCCTGTCTTTACCTTTCTCAGCATGCTTTCAGAGTTAGATAGATAGATTGACAGACAGACAGACAGACAGACAGACAGACAGACAGACAGACAGACAGACAGACAGACAGACAGACAGACAGACAGACAGACAGACAGACAGACAGACAGACAGACAGACAGACAGACAGACAGACAGACAGACAGACAGACAGACAGGTAGGTAGGTAGGTAGGTAGGTAGGCAGATAGGTAAGTAAATAGGTAGGTAAAGACAAATAGACAGACAGACAGACAAATAGACAGATAGATAAACAGACAGACAGACACGAATGTGTTGAGATAACAAGGCTTCAACTTGCTCTTTTCATTTGTTTATTTTCCTAAAATTAGCAAGTTTTATAAAGAAAACTCTCTTTACACTGTGTGGAATGTAGGTGTCTGTCTTGTCTGTCTTGTCTGTCTTCCCCTCTGTGGGGCTACCCAAAGGTTCGACCACCGCAAGAGTTGCAGCCTGTATGAGAAACCAGCAGGGAAGATACCAGATATCCAATTCAATCTCCTGTAACGGCTACACCAAGTACTATTCAGATGCACCCCGTAATCCTGTGCGGGCAAGGATTTGAATATTATTGGAATTTGTATTAACTCATGGTCCGTTCACGTTTAAAATACGCTTCAGATCATGCAATTTTAACACAGTAAAACTTGGTTACCATGAACTGAAATGGAACGAAAATCGAGCTGGTTTTAAAAAAAAAAAATGTGTTCTTATCGGAGGCTAATGTGGTGCGCGAAAGGTATAGACGGATTATCGGTACAACCTGGTCGCTGGTCTATTAGTAGTTGTCAGTATTTTATTACTCATTGATTTAACAGTTGTCCGCATGTTGTTGTTGATTCACTAGTAGCTTTCTTGTAATTTAGTGTTCATTTAGTATTCTTATTGTTCAGAGTGGGTCTTTATATACTGTTTTATGTCGACTGGTCGTGTAACATCTGCCGGCCAGATTCATTGAGTAAATAAAGACGATGTATTTATTGACTTGTATTCTTGTTGTTTTATTCAGTACTCCTAGTTTTACTGTTACTGCTATTTAGACTTCATACAGAAAATTTCCTGTCAGGGCTAGAACACTTAGGACTTAGCACCCGCCTAACGAGATTTTTCTATTTTTGTCTTCTTGTTACTGAGGCAGCTTGAGTGTGGATTGTCTTACACTCAACACGACAATGTTTGTTCGAGATCATGTGGGTTTGAAGTAGAGATAGGTTCATGTAGTAGATTTTTATATTATCCCTTATGGTATCTCTCACCATCATCTGATACAATATTTCCCTTAGGCTTTGCTTCTAGTACAGACAAAACACAAATAAAGCCTCTGGGGGAAAAATTAGTCAACATGAAATTCCAGTCCTGAAATGTACTGTATATCAACTGCTTGAATAAATATGTTAGCGCGTATACTTCGCCACCGAATATCACAAAAACACTCCCCAAAAAAAACTTTTCCTGTTTGGTCTGGGGGAAAAAAGGAGGGGGGGGGGGGGGGGGCGTGGTCTTGCAGAAAAATCATTGAGACAGTGCCCCCAAGAAACAGATGAAAACCGTAATCTGAATAAAGAAAATAGACGTAGACAGCCATGTTATTGTGACCAGGTTTTGAAGAGAAATACGGTTGAAAATCTGGTGACAACTGATAAATTTAAGGGGGAAAAGGGAGGAGGGGGGGTAAAGAAAAGGTACCTTGAAAAATACCTGAACAGTTTTCTTCACAAGGCAGGGCGACACACACACACACACACACACACACACACACACACACACACACACACAACATACAGACGCACACCTACTGACAATCATTTACATACATACACAGACGCACACCTACTCCCTAAACATACACATACACAGGTTATGCCTGATCACTGATTCTGGTGATCATATGAGAACTATAAAAACCTTCATTTATCATTTATCAGTCTATCAAAGATGACTGGTGACAGCAGCCAAGACTGGCATCGCTGACTGGGCATCGCTACTGCATTATCTATACAAAATTACTAAAGGGTCAATCCTTCCTCGCTTCTCTTCTGATCAGGCGACATTTGTAGCGGACACACTGACGGACGAATCCGGCCACGGCCTCGTCTTTAACTGTGAAGTCTGCTGGGACCATTTTCTCGTGGGCTGGAGGCAGGATATCATACCGCTGTAGGATGCTTGTTAGAAAAAGGAAGCCTCGAGAGCGGGCAAAACTCTCCCCTGGACACGTCCGGACACCAACTCCAAACGGGATGAGGCTGAAAGTGACAATAGAAATGTATAAATTGTAGCAAAACTATATGAATAAAACAAAGTTTGGGAAATAGTAAAGACTGCGATCTGTGAACTGTATAATTAGAGCATGCTAAAGTCATACAACGCGTGTATGGTACCGGCTGAGAAAGGTGAAGACAGGGATGCTTAGAGTCGAGTAGCAAGCTTCACTGGGAAAGGTCACGGGTAGTGAGCATACTTTGAAACATTTCTCCAGGCTATGCCGGGGTGGTGGGGAAGGAACAGGCAGACACATTGGCTAGATCTGCACCACTGGGTGGTGAGCTGATACACGACAAGGCAGATGTGGTCAAGGCCCTTTGGGAACAAGTACCGAAGTCAGAAGAGAAAGAAGATTATTTTGGCCTGGAGAGAATGACGCATTTGGGTGTAACCAGAGGGTCTGGTCGGCTCACTGCATTCAGAGGAAAGGCAAGACGGACATAGAACCAGATTACAGCCGGTACCATTAGTGTTGGAACTCTGCGCTGGCTGTTGAAAATGAGGACAGAGCGCGCATGGGAAGGCCCCGAGTGCTGTGAACTTGTATGGTACCGGTACCTTCACAGGAAGCAAAGAATAATTAAACTGCACCCTACTAGGCATGTCGTAAGATGCGACTAAGGGTAGGTTTGGGCTTGTGGTTAGCTAAATCATCCTGTAAAAACAATAGGCACAAAAACTAAACAACTATGGAAAAGTCAAACAGTGAAACAATAAACACCCAGCCAGCAAATATGAGGGGAGGCTCTTCTAATAGAAGAATGAGGACATGGTGCAGATAAAGCCGAAAGAAGCAGAATTGTCGAGGCACTTTCCTTTCATAGATGATAGGAAGGACAAGGGGTGGGTTGCATTCAATAGCGAGGGATAGAACCACTTCGCAGGGTGGTTAAGGGCCTATGCTCCGCTGGGGAATAGAAGACAGAAGAAGAAGTCATTCAGCGAAGTGAACGCATCAAGCTTTCTTAGTAAAAAAAAAGTAAAGTAAAGTAAAGATCCCTTTTCACGCCTTTCGGTGCATCGGGCATATGGGCAGAGCGTCCCATATTTTTACAGACCATCAGCACTCTGTGGGTAATGTGGTCAGCATTACGCCGGCTGTCTTTACTTTCCCAGGACAGCCCATCCTGGTACCCATTTTAGGCTGGGTCGACCTGCGACGTCCCATACCACGACAAAAATCTCGCTTTCATCAGCTATAAACTTAGTCTGAAATTTTTGGTTGTCCGTCCATTTCTGCATTTTGGTCTTGGTCCAGAACTTGAGTTTTGCCTACACATCCGTTTTACAGATTTAGCTTTTTTTTTAAAAAATAAGGATTGTTGTTTCCTCATATTCAAGCAAATGCATTCCGACCTTGAAGGCAAAATATTTTTTTAAATATTGGCGAAGAAAGATTTATTTCCGAAAAGTAAATATACAAGTACAAATTATGACAAACATGTAAAAAACATTAATGGCCTTACTGTGAGAAGAGACACACACTGGAACATGAGACAGCTTGAACGATTTAGGGAAGGGGAGAAATGGGTACATAAGGATAGGAGATTTTTAACACGCTTCTGTCATTCAGAGACATGCGTCAATGCACAAATGTATTTATTTACATATACTACAGGAGACCGGAGAACTAAGCCTGCTTACGCCAAGCCAGTCGGCCAGGCACCTCATGATGAGTATTATATGAGGATGATTAAATGGCGATGAGGCTGATGATGATCAAATACTTCAGTTCACTCACATTTGTTTCGTGGCGGGTAGTCAACTGGCAGAACAAGTTACGGCTTAAAGGGATCAGGAATCTCTCGTACGACATTTGTAGTGACGGTAACGAGAATCACGAATGCCCACGATATGATGATTTTGATGTTCATGATGATGATGATGATGACGGTGATGAAATATTTCAATTTACATACTTTCTGCGTGCCGGATGGTCAACTGGCAGAAGTTGCCCTTGGCTGTCCAGAAAACGCTCCGGTTTGAATGTCCAGGGATCGTCGTAATACTTTTCGCTACGAAATATGTAGCCCGTGTTGATATAGACCTGTCAGAGAAAAATGACCACACACAGTGACCGTTGGTGATTGCACGGTCAGTTTTACTGTGTCACCAAAAACAAAGGGAAATATTAAGTACAGGAAGTGCTAATCTCGGCAGCTATTACTTATCTCAAAGCAATGTTTCCCCGTTATTAATTTGACAAATAATAGGCAAACAAAAGATTGCACATTTTATTGACTGACATATTTCGCTGTCTCTCGCCAGGTGCATACTACAGTAACAATTGATTGAAGTAAAGCAAATAAATGAATCCTTCGAACGGAAGAACAGAATCGACTACATTCAAAAACTGTCTGTTTCACCATGGAAACCGCAAGGTAAAGATCGTCTCTTTTCTGCATAATTCTAGACTAAACCGGTTTATCGCAGTCGCTTCTACAAACTTGCGGTTGGCTGAGGTGTAAATAATGCATCTTCCTTGACAACAATGTGCCCAAAATTCACAGTATGGAATGCAATGGCTGATGGGGAATTTTTTCGACCATTCGACTGTTCGTTGTCGTTGGTAAAAGCAATGCAGAACACTAACAACAACTCAGAAACAACAAATCAGGTCACTGGTCGAAAAAATCCCCCATCAGCCATCGAGACAACTGATGATCATTGTCTTGAACTCCCACAGGCGACAGATCACCTCTTGTTGTCTTATCTTGGTGTCAGTATGAGACCAGAAGATCTATATGTAAATACACAAAGAGGCGAAATCGCAAAGAAAATGTACCTAAACTGGGGTTAGTTAAAATCTTTTTTTGCGACACTCAAGGGATTTCAAAAAGATATTCTCCCGCTATGAGTTTTTGGGCCTTATTTGGGGTGGACAAGAAAAGACCCACAACCCACTAACAAGCATGTCGTAAAAGTCGACTGATTTGGGAGTGTTTTTCTCTCAAAGTCGGAGTGCAATCTTCCTGAGAGACGAGAAACCAACAGTCTGCATGCAAAAATACGAGATCTCTAAAAAACTGTGAGCACACAAAACTCGGTTTCTGTAACAAGACAAAGTCCACGCAAGACCCTCTGCATCTGACGGGTCATGCTGCTGACGTCACGAAACCAGGCTAAAGATACGTTAACGTATCGTTAGTCCGGTTTGGTGACGTTAGCAGCATGACCAGTCAGATTGAGACGGTCTTGTTCCACTAGTGGACGAACAATCTGAACTTTCCGCCAGGGTTTACAACAGGTTGAGAAGAAGAAAAAGAAGATGCACTCATCAACCAGGCAGAGCATTTTTTTTAATTGTGTGTGTGTGTGTGTGTGTGTGTGTGTGTGTGTGTGTGTGTGTGTGTGTGTGTGTGTTGTTGTTGTTGTTATCGATTCAGCGGCGCATGAGCTTTCGCCCTTTGGCCCAATGCCATGTAGTGGAATTTGCATGTTTTCACAAGCTGTTCTTTTCCTCCGTACAAGGTGTTCCACTTGTCTGGTCTCGGAGGGAGTAGCGTTCTTCTTGTCTGAGTTTTGGACACTCAAAGAGATGGTGTTCAACAGTTTCGTAGGGGTAGTTACATAGCTGGCACTCTGGGGAGTGTTGTGGCTGTATTCTGTTTAGATGTCCATTGAGTGGAGTATGTTGCGTTCTAAGTATGAAGATGGTGGCCTGGTCTCTTCTTGTTAGATGGTTAATGCTGTCATTAGGATCAGGGCCAGACATATGTCTATAAACCTCTCTTCCAGTGTCTCCCATGGCCCATCTGTTCAACTAAGTCTCTTTGTTTATAGCTCTTATAAGTGTTTTTGCTGTCTGTAGGGTTGTCGCTGTAAGTGGTTGTTCTTGTGTTGCTCCTTTCTTTGCCAATCTGTCAGCTCTGTCATTACCTGGTGTGCCGGAGTGACCTGGAATCCACTGTATCACTATTCTGATGTTGTATGAGGTAATAAGCTGATCAGCATCCAAGATTATCTTGGCTATGTCAGTTCTGCAGTGTTTACTGCCCTCCAGAGCTTGAAGGGCAGACATGGAATCTGTGAAGATGAAAATATTTTGGACCTTTGAAGGGTAAATATCCATTACAGTCTTTAGGTGGTATACTGCTGTTTCCAGTGCAATTATTTCAGCTTTATAATTTGAACAGAATTCCCCGCATGCATCAAAAATCTCTTCAACAGATCCATCGGGATAACCTATGTAGATTCCGTAACCTGCTTTAATGGTAGCTTTAAATGCTGATCCATCAGTATAGACATGTATCCATTCTTGGGGGTAAGAATCAACGGTCTCCAGTGATGAGTTCATAAGAGCGATTGGGTCGGACTGTTTGGTTTCCTCGCCTATCAATTTAATTCGGACTTCTGGAGCTTTAAAGCGAGCATGTGGTGGTAGGTTTCTTGCAACATTCTGAATTCCTTGACGTCTTTCTGGGAGTTGGTATCTGTCCTGAATTTCATCAACACAGTGTAAAACCGATTTGTGCTTTATTCTTTGTTTGTATTCCCAGTTTTCTAAAACATGTCTATTAGGATGGTTACAATTTTTTCTAACGCATCTTTCATAAATTTCTAAAGTTGCTTTTTCTCTCCGCAACCCGAGGGGTTCCACATTTGTATGGATTTCACATGCAGCAGTTGGTGTTGACTGCATAGCTTCGCAGATTAATCGGAGGGCATTATTTTGTACTCTGTCAAGAGTCTCTAGGTTAGTTTTGGAGCAAGTTGTAAGCAGTGAGTTGTTGTACTCTATCACAGAGCGAAAATATCCTAGATATAAGCCCCTCAGAGTTTCCTTGTCTGATCCCCATGATGTACCTGCAAGTCTCTTTAATAACTGTAACCGCCTCAATGCCTTATTCCTGATGTTTTCAATATGGTTCTTGAGGCTGAGCTGCCGGTCAAGTGTGACTCCAAGGTATGTGGGATGCTCTTCTTTTATCACTTGATGTTTGTCTAACCTCAGGTTAATATTCTTCCTTGCTACTTGGTGGCTTTTGGTAAAGATTGTGTAGACCATCTTTGCACAGTTAACCTTGAGTTTTCATCTTTGGCAGTACTCATGCAGTCTTCTAAGGTCTCCATTCAGTCTTTGGGCTCCACTTTCCACATTTTCATGACTCTGCCATATTGCTAGGTCATCAGCGTACAAGGCTTTTTCGGCCTTGATTTGTTCTGGCAGGTCATTGATAAAGATTAGGAACAGTGTACAGCTCAATGATGAGCCTTGTGGCAAGCCCTCCTCCAAGACTTCTTTAGAAGAGATTGCGTTGTGCATCTTAGTCTGGATTGTTCTATCAGAAGGTATTTCACCCAGTTACACAATCTGCCATGTATTCCTATGCTCATCATCTTCATCAGGAGACCTTTTCTCCATACTCTGTCATAGGCCTGCTGGAGGTCGACAAAGACGGCCACTGTGTGTTTCTTATTCTGGAAGCCATCATGTATTCTTTGTGTCAGTCTCAACAGCTGGTCTTCTGTACAGCTGTTAGTACTGAAGCCTGCCTGTTCATGGCATAAAACACCAGAACTCTCAAGGAACCAATATAAGCGCCTGTTTATCATTCTTTCTTTAACTTTGCCCAAGCATGATGTTAGGGATATCGGGCGGTAGCTTTTGGGGTCATCTGGAGGCTTTTTGGTTTTAAGGATGGGGACGATATATGCATTCCTCCATGCCCTTGGAAGTTTGCTTGACCTCCAAGTTTTATTAATAAGCCTGAGAACTACTTCTCTCCCAGACCGGCCAAGATGTAGCAGCATTTCGTTGTGGATCTTATCTGGGCCTGGGGATTTTTTACGCTTTAATTTCTTCAGGGCTTGCTCTAATTCATCCATGCTAAATTCATTTTCAAAATGGGAGTCGCTGGCTGTTGGAGCTCTCTCTTGTTTCTTTAATTGAGAGAGCTGTGTTCTATTGAGTTCTGACAGCTTACCTGCTCTGTTAACTGAGGCAAAATAATGATTGAAATGTTCTGCTTTCTTCTTGTCTTCAGTGATTGTCTTACTCCCATCTGTCACTGGTTTTGGGTTCACCCTCCTACTTTCTCCGGAGAGGTTTTTAACTAAAGTCCATGCTTTATTTCCATTCTGTCTAAGGTCTAAGTTGGAGCAAGTTTCTGTCCATTTATCTCTTTTAGCTTTATTAACTACAAACTTTACTCTGGCACATGCTTTATTGTATTGGATCTTTGCTTCTGTTGAACGTGCAGTTTTGAGCAATATTCTTGCTTTATTCCTTTCAGATATAGTATTTTAAATTTCTTTATTCCAAAAAGGTTTATATGCCTTCCGGCTGCCCCTTGGGATGGCTTTTGACGCTGCATTCAGGATTGCTTGTGTAATGTCTTCACAAAAGGTTTCCAAACAGCTGTTGTCAATTCTTCCCAGGAGGCAGTCAGATGTTTCCTGAAATAGTTTCCAGTTTGCTTTTCGGAAATTAAAACGGGTTGTCTGCTTGAAGCGTAATTTAGCGGTGGTGCTTACAGTTGTGAGTATAGGTTTGTGGTCACTTCCTATGTCGTTCAGGACTTGGGGATAGCTTGCATCTGCTAAGTCGGATGAGCAGATGGTCAGGTCTGGTCGGCTGAGAGTTAGGTGGGCCCTGTGTAACAGTGTAGGTGGAGACTCTGTGTCCTGCAGCACTAATAGGTTAGTTGTTTCACAAGTATCTTCGATGTATTTCCCTGTGCTATTGTAGTCAGGGTAACCCCAACGTGGCGAGTGTCCGTTGAAGTAACCAACAAGAAGGGTTTTATGGTACTGTGTCTTGTATAGTTCTGGTATGTTGCATGTTGTCTGAGGTGGGCTGTACACGTTGTATATCGTATATTAGCTTCTATTGTGCCAGATAGTTATTTTTTGCACATCTGTAGGGTGAGATGTCAACAGCATTATTACATCTCCTTGTATGTCATTTCTGATATAGGTCACTATGCCCCGGCAGTCATTGCACTTACAGGCATAAACTAGTATATCCAGTGAGATGCAGATCAGAGTCTTTATGCAGGGACCCACTACCCACAACACCAACACTTCTTACCCTCTGCCTCTCGAGGCTCAGTCCCGTGTGTGTGTGTCGATGGTGCGGAAGACAGTGGTAACTGTGATGGTGATGTTGGTGATTAACTAATAAACAAACAAACAAACACAAATTACAAGCGTGTTCTTTGGAATGACCATCCCCTGGAAGTGTATATCCTCGGAGGCGGTGCGGACCCCACTAAGCGGTGACTGAGATATCAACCGCAGCGACTCCAGAATGGTTGCCTCCGTGTATGGCATGTCTCTTCGGTTGTCCAGTCTTGGGCTTCTACTTCCGACCACTGTGTCCACTTCCTCTTGTATTTTCTTGGCAATGTTTGGGTAGTTCATCATGCACAGGAAGACACCCAATAGTAGTGATCTGGACGTCAAGTGGGCTGAAACAGATCATTCAACGGGATTGTGTTTTTAAAAAAAAAAATCAATAACACTGTATACAGCTTAATTCACTGTTTAGAAGTACCGTGGAACTCCAATTATCATCTACGCCAATATTCGTCTCTTTTGAAATTGTTCATGTTTATTCGTTGAAATTTTAGGGGATACAGAATACAGTAAAGTCTTTGCAACATTTGTTGGATATGAGATGTAATGTGTGTGTGTGTGTGTGTATATTTGTTTAATCTATTGTCTCAATAAGTTGCAGCTGTGTTCTGTTTCAAGCTTTCTTTGATTGAAGATACAAGAGAAAGCACCCGCTCAATAATAGCATTAATAACTGAAGTTATTAATCAAGTCAAAGAAAAAGTTTATTTACTGCATGTTGAATGCAAGAGGCGAGTGAATTGCAGATACACTTGAACTGCACACGGTGAGGGGACGCCTCTTTTAACTTAGACCATACAGAGTTGTTACAACCAGCCATGTTAGATGCACCATCCGATGCAACGCCAGTGCAGTTCTTAAAACTGACCACATCTCTTAGTTTCAACTTCTGTCAAAGTAAATATATTTTCTCATGCAGCTACTTGCATGGAAAATAAAGTTAAAAATCCAGCTAAAATGTTATTTTTCTTGTCACTCAAAAATAAACCAAAATACCCAAGTACTTCTGTGTTAAAATCAATAGATTCATCTACTATTTTAGCGTAATCTGGTTCTCTTTTTGACTAATCCATGGTTGGTTCATTTTTGTGGTTATTGTTTTTCCAGGATAAAGTAGCCAAACTCAAGCCCAACCCTACCCTTAGTCGCCTCTTACGACATGCCTGGTAGGGTGCAGTGTCACTATTCTTTGCATCCTGCGAGGTTATGAAAACAGTAACTGCTAACACTAAGATTGGAATTCATTGAACCCCTCCAATACAGCTTGATGATCTAGACTTCGCTGATGATATTTCTCTTCTGTTCCATTCACGGAACTAGACGCAAGATAAATTAAATATACTTGATGCGAGATCACAGCAGCTAGGTCTGAAAATCCATAAAGGAAAGACAAAGATAATGAGAATAAATCAGGAAAAAAGAAATGTCGTTTCTCTTATTGGCACCCCACTCCAAAATGTGGAGTTGTACACCTATTTGGGCAGTAATGTAAATAAATATGGAGGAACTGACAGAGAAATTTAAAAAAAGAATACAAAAGGCAAGAGGAGCCTTTATAGCACTAGGGAATTTGTGGAGGTCAAAAGAAATTATAAAAGAAATACTAAACTTAAAATTTTAAATTCTAATGTCAAAGCAGTGCTTTTGTTTGGGGCGGAAACATGGAGAACAACTATGGAGGAAATTACTAACAAATTACAGCCATTCATTACCTGGTGCCTGCGCAGAATAGAGGGAATTAAATGGTGTGATAGAATAACTAATGTAGAGCTTTGGGAGAAAACCAAACTAGCTCCTGTGGATCAAGAGGTAAGGAAAAGACGCTGGCGTTGGATAATTAAACAAAAACATTTTGTTCTGTGGAAACTTAGGGGCTCTAGAGTGCTACCTTGTTCATGATTTGTCATTATTTTCCTAAAGTGGCCGACGGAATGGATGGCACAATGACAGGCCACATACAGCTATTAAAATGCTGCTGCCTTAACATTTTCATCATTGTCAAGGAGCGTTCTTCACTTGAAGCTTATTTTGTCCTGTTAATGGTGTCCTCTGTATTTGCCAGATTTTTTTACGTGAGCGTCAAGGCCACTAGTTTAAATAAAACAGTGAAATAAGCGTTGTCTTGTCCATCGGATCTTTTGATCAACACGAAAGTCTTTTCCTTAGTTGCTATTGTACTTACGACTACTTTTATTTTATTGTTTCAATTTTTGTTAACGCCATAGTTAATGACTCCATGCGAAATTCGACACGAACATTAAAAAAAAAAAAAAAAAACTGACGGGACTTTGGCCGATTTTCTAAATTTTGAATTGGCAACCACGCTTTAGATTGCAGCTCTCGAGAGGAACTGAGGAAGTCATGTCTCTGTTTATAATCACTAAGCAAATTCTTTTTAACGGTACAAACCAGAACCAAATGTTAAAAACCTGTACAATGTATTTTTACCCTCTGTCCTTTTAAGAACTATGCATATTTTTTAGAAAGAGAGGGGGGGGGGATGTGTATAGGGAAAATCCCATAATTCGGCCACAATGCCAAATTTTTTTTTTTGTTTTAAGCCAATCACTTTAAAAAAGGCAAAGTTTCTCAAGGCCAATCTGGTAACCGTGACCCAAACACTTCGGAGCTGTTATGGGAATGTTCCGCGTGCTGTAATGTCGATTCTCAAGTATTCATGAAAAATTGAACTTTAAACAAACATTGAATATGTGATAAGCCAATCTGGACAACCAAATGGAAATAGAATCCTCACCCGCAAAAAATATAGATGTTAAAACTGCGATCACGTGTTCTGGATCGTGTCGCATCCATTCATTGCCCGGGAGATTCGCTTGGTCAAACCACAGGTCAGCGATACCTCGGGGCTGTCCTGGTATGTGTGTTTTCTATAAATTCAAAATATATTTGATATACGATTACAATATATAGGGTGTTTGTAAAGTCTCACTATACACTGTTTAAAAAAAGTGACATGACGTCATAAAAATGTGCTAAAAGGGTCATAAATTAGTTACGAAAGAGTTACTGTTGGGTCTGACGCAGCTTTTCGGGAAGTTGGAAAGTAGCAATAAAATATTCTTTATAACATTCAGACACCCTACACAATCTATCTGTCTGTGCAAGTGTTCGTTCGTGCCGTTCATGTCTGTCTGTCTGTCTGTCTGTCTGTCTGTCTGTCTGTCTGTCTGTCTGTCTGTCTGTCTGTCTGTCTGTCTGTCTGTCTGTCTGTCTGTCTGTCTGTCTGTCTGTCTGTCTGTCTGTCTGTCTGTCTGTCTGTCTGTCTGTCTGTCTGTCTGTCTGTCTGTCTGTATGTATGTATGTATGTATGTATGTATGTATGTTTGTATGTATGTATGTATGTATGTATGAAGGGGAAGAAGAAGAAGAAGGAGAAGAAGGAGAAGAAGAAGAAAAAGAAGAAGAAGAAGAAGAAGAAGAAGAAGAAGAAGAAGAAGAAGAAGAAGAAGAAGAAGAAGAAGAAGAAGAAGAAGAAGAAGAAGAAGAAGAAGAAGAAGAAGAAGAAGAAGAGCAACAACAACAACAACAACAACAACAATGAAGAAGATGAGGAGGCTGACGAGGTGGAAAGAGAAAAATCATGTTTGTTGCATTAATTTTTAACTATGCTTAACAATAACATATAATAAAACTCAAAGTCGTTATTTTAGGACAAGTACGGGAATTTCAGTATCTAGGCACACGGATAACATTGGACGGAAGGTGTATCAGAAACACAGAGAAGGTAGAGAGACTCATGGCAGCCTTTCGCCTTGGCATGGGCTGGTGCTAGCACACGGACTGGTGCTAGCACACGGACTGGTGCTAGCACACGGACTGGTGCTAGCACATGGACTGGTGCTAGCACACGGACTGGTACATGCAGGTGAAGACGCAGATTTTGGAGAGCAAGATCGCCCGCATCAGACAGCATAGCACTCGATGATGATGATGTTTATACAATTCGTCATTATTACATGTTAGATCGTCATCCCTTATGGGATGCAATTTTTAGTTATTTTAAAGCCCCATCCTAAAATAGCCGGGTCTGAAATATTGCCTAACGGCTGAACGGGGTTTCCGGGACCTCTCCACGGGTGATCCTCATCCGCATGGTGACACTTTGTGTCACCTGGTGTTTATCGTTTGTGTGATGTCCCAGTAGGGTACAAATTACATACAAATTACTTGTTCTATATGGGGGTTATTGCAGTCAGGCTAACACAAGGAATTCCAGTGTACTCTCCTCTTTGTTACCTTTGTGTAGTTCACTTCATGTTTGACAAAGGCTGCAGTCCGAATCGTTAAATGTGTTGTTTTGTGCACGCTTTTCTGCTTTCCCATTTCGTTAAACCTTTTAGTCACATTTCACGGGGATTTCCTGTCCTAGCATGAGAGACATGAGAAGGAGGAAACTCTTTAAAAAAATATTTACCCGCAGGAGAGATATGGTTTGAGGAAAAATACAAATAAAATAATGGAGGGATAGAAAAACAAACGAAGCAGTCCTCGTTGAGACAAGACAGATGAAAGTCGTAAATTTATTACAACAATTAGACATAAACAGTCAGTCTTGTATGGACATGATATGAGAAGAAACGGATTTGAGAACGTGTAAAAGCTGGCGAGAATGATGGAAAGAGAACAAGATAAAGACAAAGAGAAACTATATGAACGGCAAGGTAGCACCGATGGAGCGAGACTAAAGCACTGATCTGATCCGTGAGTCTGGTCATTGTGTGAGATAAAGAAACATGCAGCCTACGCTTACCGGCAGGGTACATGATGAAGATGAATAAAGAAGATAAAATACCAAAACTGTCACCTTCGGGTTGAAATACATCAACTCCTCCGCAGCTCTCTTTGCCTTCAGTAGTCGGTCTACGGCTGTCTTGTACTTTCCGGGTACTTTTGTCAAGATCCGAATGTTGCTAATGACAAAATCCATATCCGGAGCCCAAAGTTTGTTGAAGGCGATGTCGTACTCCTCGAGAATATCCGGGATCGCTGGGTCGCTGGGTCGTTCTCCCAGTGCCTTGGGGGAAACGATGTTCAAATACTTTAGTGTTTAATACCACAAGATATCTAAAGGTGGTATGATACATTACTAAGATGGCGATACTTTAGCGTTTAATAACACAAGATATCTTAAGTTGGTATGATACATTACTGAGATGGTGGTACTTTCATGTTAATTCATCACAAACAAAGGAAATTCGGGAGTTCCCGTACAGGCCAGTAGTATAGGGGTCAGGCGAATCCACTTCCACTTTAAAAATAAAAGCTGGACCACGTTCAACCTGCAGTTAGCTAGCCGAAAGTGGCAACATTCTCCTGTTATATTTGTGTCTGCTTTATTTGCGTCGCTTTTGTGGCTAAAGCTTTGGTATTTGCGTCGCTTTTGTGGCTAAAACTTTGGTATTTGCGTCGCTTTTGTGGCTAAAGCTTTGATATTTGCGTCGCTTTTGTGGCTAAAGCTTTGGTATTTGCGTCGAATTTGTGGCTAAAACTTTGGTATTTGCGTCGCTTTTTTGGCTAAATCTGTGGTATTTTCGTCGCTTTTGTGGCTAAAGCTTTGGTATTCGCGTCGCTTAAGTGGCTAAAGCTTTGGTATTTGCGTCGCTTTTGTGGATAAGCTTTGGTATTTGCGTCGCTTTGTGGCTAAAGCTTTGGTATTTGCGTCGCTTTTGTGGCTAAAGCTTTGGTATTTGCCTCGCTTTTGTGGCTAAAGCTTTGGTATTTGCGCCGTCTCTGGGTTTAGATCTTTTTCTCTCCAAGTCAGACCGCTCTATCATTTTTCTGTTGTCAGCTGCGTTCTTGCTGCCATTGCATTTCTTGTGTTTTTCTTTAAGTTCAGGTGCCTTATAATTTAGCCAGACTTATCTCGTAGGTAGAGAAGTAGTATATTTTACACCACTAGGACACCACACAAGCGATAAACACCCGATGACACAAAGTGTCACCATGTGGGTGAGGATTACCCGTGGAGAGGTCTCAAGAACCGCGTTCAGCCATTTTACCATTTTAATGGCCGGGCTATATTGCGGCCCGTGGCAAGAACCAGGGTGGGGTTTCAAAATAACGAAAGATTGCATCTCAAAAAAAGATAACTAGTTGAACTGCATCTGCAATCTCGTAGGAGAGCGAGCTTTTCATTATAACGTCCTTTTGGACCACCATTTATAGATTTAAAATTGTGAATATGTTGTTTTGCCAAAAAAATACTGGAAACAGTTTTTGGGTTTGGACAGATCCGAAATTGTGAGAAAAAAAAATGTCCCGTATGACCATAGTGGTTTTACAGTTATCTTCCTGTAATAAACGCGGGTTATGCATGTCATAGTGGTGTAAATGATCTTTAATGATTGCTACTTTCCGCTCTCTCTCTCTCTCTCTCTCTCTCTCTCTCTCTCTCTCTCTCTCTCTCTCTCTCTCTCTCTCTTTCTTCTCTCTCTCTCTCTCTCTCTCTCTCTCTCTCTCTCTCTCTCTGTCAGTCGTTGATGGTATTGCTTTAATTCTCCCAGCTCAGGGTGGGTATTACTTTCACTCTCTCAGTGTCTTATTGTTTTTGCTTTAGCTCTCTCAGTTTCTAATAGTTATTGCTTTAACTCTATCAGTATATAATGGTTTTTGCTTTAGCTCTCTCAGTATCTAATGGTTATTGCTTTAGCTCTCTCAGTATCTAGTGGTTATTGCTTTAGCTCTCTCAGTATCTAATTGTTATTGCTTTAGCTCTTTCAGAATCTAATGGTTAATGTTTTAGCTCTCTCAGTATCTAATGGTTATTGCTTTAGCTCTCTCAGTATCTAATGGGTATTGCTTTAGCACTCTCAGTATCTAATGGTTATCGTTTAGCTCTCTCTTTATCTAATGGTTATTGCTTTAGCTCTCTCAGTATCAACTTGTTATTTCTTTAGCTCTCTCATTATCTAATGGTTATTGCTTTAGCTCTCTTAGTATCTAATGGTTATTGCTTTAGCTCTCTCAGTATCTAATGGTTATTTCTTTAGCTCTCTCAGTATCTAATGGTTATTGCTTTAGCTCTCTCAGTATCTAATGGTTATTGTTTTAGCTCTCTCAGTATCAACTTGTTATTTCTTTAGCTCTCTCAGTATCTAATGGTTATTGTTTTAGCTCTCTTGGTATCTAATGGTTATTGCTTTAGCTCTCTCAGTATCTAATGGTTATTGCTTTAGCTCTCTTAGTATCTAATGGTTATTGCTTTAGCTCTCTCAGTATCTAATGGTTATTGCTTTAGCTCTCTTAGTATCTAATGGTTATTGCTTTAGCTCTCTCATTATCTAATGGTAATTGCTTTAACTCTCTCATTATCTAATGGTTATTGCTTTAGCTCTCTCAGTATGTAATGGTTATTGCTTTAGCTCTCTCAGTATAAAATGGTTATTGCTTTAGCTCTCTCATTATCAACTTGTTATTTCTTTAGCTCTCTCAGTATCTAATGGTTATTGCTTTAGCTCTCTTAGTATCTAATGGTTATTGCTTTAGCTCTCTCAGTATCTAATGGTTATTGATTTAGCTCTCTCAATCTCAGACGGTTATTCAGTTAACTTTCACTGTCTGGTGTAGTTATTGCTTTAGCTTTCTCAATCTTTGGTGGATATTACTGTTTCAGCCGCAGATCATCAATATATTAAAGTCAGTTAAATCATGTTAGTCTTAGGTTGTTTTTTTTTTTACATTTACCCCTGCACTCCAGATGGCTATTAATCAAACTGCTTCTAACACACGCTACTATATATCAAACATCAGTCAGTCAATCAATTAATCAATCAATCAATCAATCAATAAGCATATCCTTTGCAGAACCTCGCTCTCTTCACGGCACAGCTGAAAGTCTATATTTCTCTAGATAATTCTCCAGCCCTGCATGCTTTTGTAACCAATGCATCTTCAATGTGCTGTATCCACTTTCTCGGTGGTCAGCCTCTAGATCGCTTCTGGCAACTGCACGTTCCATCAGCATTCTCGCAGACCGGTATTGCGCTTGACATGTCCAAAAGGCCTCAGCTTCCGGGAGAAGATGCTTTTTGTGAGCCAATTCTCCTTCATGTTCATGTCGTGAAAGACGTCTTTGTTTTTCTTGTGCTTGATGCATTGTATTCTAATCGGCTTCTGTAGAATTCCAGTTGAAAAGCCCAGATCTTCTTCTTCAAAGTCTGAGTGAGTCGATGTCTCACATCCAAAAGCTGAAACCGGAAAGATGCATAATCTTACAATTTGTATCTTGCTTGCAGGTGTTCTGCCATAGGTTTTTCCTGTCAATTTCTGACTTCTTTTGTGCCGTCGCCTTTGTTGCTCATTACTGAGCTGAAATATTCAAAATCCGTGACATTGCCAATCTCTTCGATCTCGATTTTAATATGGAGGTGTGTGTGTGCTGTATTGCATTTTGGGTAATATTGTAAGACTCAATAATAGATTCTCTTCTCTGTGCTTTTTTGACATTCAAAATTGATTTTTGTAAGCCTTGTACACTATTGGAAAGCAGAACTGTGTCATCTGCACATCTGAGTTCTGGGATAGGTTTACCTCAAATTTTAAGTAGATCGAAGCTTTCACAGGGCTCTTCACTAATTGTGTTTCTCTGAATATTCTCATCTGTTAAAAAAGGATGGAGATAGAAAACAGCCCTGTTTCACTACTGTCTGCACCTTAAGCCAGTCCGATGTTTCACCAGATAGTCTGACTGCTGCTTGTTGTTCATGGTAAATAAATTCCATTAGATAAGCCACATATGTTAGGAATCGTATGCATGTGAAAGCCAGATTTTTTGCTACAAAATACTACCTAAAAGAAAAAGAAAAAGAAAAAGAAGAAAAGGGTGGCGGGAAGAAATGTTTAGCTAATGAATTGAACACAATTTTCTCATAATTTTTCCATTCATAATCTTTGCGATTTAATGAGTGAAATTGTTCAAACTGCACACAAGAATACCGTAGTGTTCACCCAATAATTTGGCAGTTCTCTTGCATGTGGGTCATCGATAGTTTTTAGGCGTACCAGATTTTTTCGTCAACTAATAAAAATGCGTCATCCGATAACTATGTAGTGTCTGCACGGAATTTTTTTTTTTTTTTTAAACTGCATAAGCAAGAAAGAGTTAACCCTTTTAAATACGCTTTCAAAAAGACACCGATTTTACCAGGATATAGATAATGATCTTCAAGGACCTGGAGAGGGTCGCAGAAAGATCAAAGTCAGCGCCTCCAGCCGCATCTATCTCTGCAAACATTCTCTGCATCTCTTCCAGGGCAACGTTCTCGAATTTCTGCACTCCATCGCCGTACAAACGTAATGTGCTGTGGAACAGTTTCCGTTTCTTGCGCATCACATCTGAAAGCGAAAAATGGATCTCGTTATGTTATGCAATGCTGCGTTATGTTATGCTGTGCTATGTTATGTTATGCTATTTTATGTTACACTATGTTGTGTAATGACATGAGCCAACTTTTTCGCCTCTTGAACCTGCACGCCTAGTGTGTCCTTGACATTCGATATCCACCGTCGGGCTGGTGGATTTCTGACCCCACGTCCTTTCATTAGCTTTTTCCCTAATGCTGATAAGCACATACGTGATAGTGGGGAAAATCGGGAATTTAGATTGTCATGGCCATAATTAAGAAGTGTATGACGGCAGCCAGGAATGACAATGCACAAAAAAAAGGACAAGCGATGTATGTTTGAAAGTCTCAAGTTTAAAATGGAGGTGATTGACTTTACTACATTATGTTTTATTCCAGATGACCAGGTCTCTCTCGACAGAACGGATAGTTCCCTTGTAAGAATATAGCAAAATCTACAAAGGCGTTATCTACTGCAATTATCATCAGAAATCTAATTTAAAATTGGGGGAAATTAGAAAATCTCCCCATCTTATCTTGCTTAGCTCCGCTCATTTACGCTCTAGGTCACTTTTCATTCATACTTTGTTGGGCTCGTTCACTTTGCAGAAGGTTACGGTGGTATCCCCCTGTACTGTTGGCTCGAAAAGCTTTCTGCTTTATCTTCTATTAACTTTTTCATTCCGAGAAAGAGAATGCGTGTGACGCAGGTTGCAGCACTCTCGTGTGAGGGTTTGTGTTAGGGCCAGTCCTGCATGTTTTTGGGGCGCTAAAAGTGTTTACGTGCTGCAGTATACAACATGCGATATCAACGGCCTTTTTCTTCGTCTCTTATTTCGGTCATCTGAATCGGTACGTGGAACATGCGAAGGGCCTGCCACAGTAGCTTATGGGATACCGCCCCATAGGCGTTGGTGAGGTCCAACCATATAACATGGGGGGACGATTGATATATATATAAATCAATGTTTGTGTGTTTGTTTGTCCCCTATAGACTCGGAAACTACTGAACCGATTAAGCTGAAATTTTCAGGATATGTTTGTTTTGATACCGGATGTTGAACCATCATGGTTTGAAATTCAAACTGTCATTGTTAGAGATAGTTTGCGACAATTTTTGGGAAAATATTCGAAACTAAAATTTAAATTGTTAGTGACAGCTTTATCATGTGAAAACCAAATAACCATTTTTGTTGCTGTGCTAATAACACCATTTAAACGACCACTAATATAAAGACACAATTATAAGGTGCGTGTTCTAAAGTTGGAAAACCAAACTATCTCTATATCTGTGCAGAGAATGATTGCGACATTAACTATATTAGACACGTGCGATTTCCATTGTCTTTCTTTTCCAAAAACCTTTGATGAGGGAGAGAGTAGTAGGTGGATTTAGTTGTGGTGATGAGGGGCGGGGAGGCGGGGATCAAAGACTATCTCTACATCTGAGCAGACAATGATTGTATTAGACACGTGCAATTTCTATTTTCTTTCATTTCCATTTAGCCAAACTATGCCACAGCAACGCGTGGCCGGGTGCAGCTAGTGTGTATATATATATATATATATATATATATATATATATATATATATATATATATATATATATATATATATATATATATATATATATTAAAAGTCCTACCTTGGCTGGACTTCAAGTTGCCTCATAACCTTCGCCATAATATATACCCTTAGGGTTTAAAGGGGTTCTGAGTCTTGCACTTGAAACATTCTCATCCGAATGGGGGCACTTTGTGGCACCAGGTGTTCATCGCTAGTTGTGCGGTCTTAGTGAAGTTAAACCTCACTCACTGGTATGTTATCGAACTGTGTCTTTTATCGTCCCTTATACTACTGTTTATCATATCAGTTTCTTCTTGAGATAAACAAGTTTTCCAGTCATTACAGTTCCAGTGCTTAGATATTTAAGTCGTAGGTTCGGTCAAAAGTTATGTTTTGCATAGAAAAAAAACAGCGTTGACACAAAAATATACGTGTTTTTTTTTCTAAATATTATTATTAGTCATTTGCTTACCATTATAAAAACTGAGACTCGATTCCGACATAACACGCGCATGACTGTCAGTTACGAAACAATTAATACATGCTTTTAAACAATTTAAGACTATGACGATCTAAGACTTTTTTCTTTTTCTTTTTTAATTCGCCACGTCCTGACCATGCATATTTACCAGTCAAAAAGCCAGACCTCTGAACGATACAAGTTAAAAAAAAATAAATTAAGTAAAACGTTGCGTAAATTCGCAGGACGTTACAGAACCAACCCCATTTTTTTTTTTTATTAACTACGCAATTTTACGTAGATTAGTTTGTCACTGCATTGGTGGGCTCACGCTACAACTGTAGAAATGAGCGCAATGCCTGTCAGTTGTTAAATCGTCCGCAGTTGAGATCAAACCCGGCACTACGGAATTATGAGACGCGTTCGCACTGCCTAAAACACAGACGCCAAGGACCTCTTAAGCACACCTTTGAAAAGTGAAAAACAAACAGAGAATAGAGAAAAATCTTGCAGCCGAAACCAGCAAATCTGCCATAAGTAATTAGTGCCACAAAATTTCAGAGCTTTCAACACAACAGCTGGTGACAAGCGGTCTAGTGCCCTCAACTGGGACATAACAAAAGGCAATATGAATTTGGAGGAACTGTTCAACATTTCATAATTATATGACTACACTTGGAGTGAATAAGCTGTTGTGAAAATGTTTGTAGCGTGACAGCTTTTTAGTTAAAGAGAAGGGAGGAGGAAGAAGAAGATGATGATGATGATGATGATGATGAAGGAGGAGAGAAGTAAGGAGGAGGGGGAGCTTATTTTTACTGTACTACTATTATTACTATTATTACTACTATTCTTATCGTCATTGTCAATTAATTATTATATCTATTACTATTAATCCTTATAATTATGTAGCAGGCCTTTTGCAGAACGTCGCTCCCATCACGGTCTGCCTGAAAGAAACTCTCACTAGCTCACCTGCTCCAATGCACTGTCATATCTTGTGTCAATATTAGAGTTGGTCTACCCCTGCCCCTCCTTCCTAGTACCATGACTTCTACTATTATGTTTTTTCTAGTCCGCTGTGTGCTTGAAAGGGCCAAAATATTAAAACTTCCGAAACAAGATGCTGTTTATCAGCCAATCTTCCTTGACGTTCAGATCTTTTAGAATGTCAGTATTGTTTCTCTTCTTTATCTATGGTATTCTGAGAATCGTTTTATAACATTTCAGCCCAAAAGCCCATAGTTTTCTTCCTCAAGGACTGGGAGATAGTCCATGACTCACGTCCTTTTGCTGCTGCAGAGAAGATGCATACTGTCAAAATTTCGATTTTGACTTTCTTACTGGTGTTTAACCATAGCCTGTTAATGCTGTGTATTCTTTGCACTGCTATGGCCATCCCCATTTTGACTTATGTCGAGGAGCCTAGATATTCAAATTTTGGGATATTTTTAATGTCTTCATTATTTTTGGTTATTTTTTAGTGACAGCCAGTTATGGACGGGGCTTCAGATGTTAAAATAAACACGAAGTCCAATTCATATGACCATCAGATGTGTAGTAGTCTGTAAAGAGTAAAGATCTCTTTTCACGCCTTAGGAGCATCGGGTACTTGGGAAGAGCAGCCATATTTTTACAGACCAATCGGCACTAGGTGGGTAATGTGGTCAGCATTACACCGGCCGTATTTACTTCCCCAGGACTTATATCCTGGTACCCATTTTAGGATGGGTCGACCTGTGACGCCCCATACCACGCAGCCAGCAGTAGGTTTTGATCTCGGTACGTTGGAATTACGAGTCAGACTCGCAACACCTAAGCCAGGGACGCCGCGAAGGAGTCTGATTCGACCATAAACAACAAGCTGGGTACTCAACGCCACGCGGTGTAATGTGTTTACAGCACTCCGGACACATCCATAGGCGCCCAGATTCCCCTCTCAACATATTCATCAGCGTCGTGCGGTTAATAGTACCAGCTCTATGTTGGTTAACAAAACTTCATGTGCGTCCAGTGTGCTTCTCATGCTTGGCTGTACCGTTCTTTACTCCCGGTTCGCGTATTCTTAGCACTGATGTGGACACGTTGCTTCCAAAATCTCCAGAACGTCCTATCTCTCGGAGGGCAATGACAATGTCAGCGAGATCCATGGGGCGGCCATCTTCGATTAATGCAGCACCTGCCAGTCTATCAGCTCTCTCATTACCAACAACGCCTGCATGCCTATTATAGTGTCTATGATAGTGATGGTATTGATGATATCTCTGCTGATCCCCTCCTCTTGTTCCTAAATGTGTTGTCATTAAACGCAGGCGTGTTTTATGGCGGTATCGCCACCCGTTTTTAATGCTTTTTTTTCCAGTGCTACGGTAACGGATTGTTTAAATCACCACTGATCACTGGCATCATGAGAGCTAATAGACTGAAATGGTTAGGCCATATTGAAAGAATGTCAGATGACAGAGAAGTAAAAACTGTATACACAAGGGAGATGAATGGTCGTAAACCACAAGGGAGACCAAGAAGACGATGGAGAGATAATATCCAGACAGACCTGGAAACACTCGGTGTTACCAACTGGAAGGAAAAGGCCAACCAGAGAGATGAATGGAGGCGGGTGATATTTGCAGTAATGAACCTCAAGGGCTCGGAATGCTGAAGAAGAAGCTACGGTAATGGATATTTTATGGTGAGTGCCTGCATTTTTTGTTAAGTTTATTAAATTTGACAGAGAGATAGAAATGTTAATGCAACAAGCCAACAGTTACAAAATAATATATAAAGAGAAATAATGACTTACCGTCGTATTTTGAGAAAATCAAGTCTTTGCCGTTGTACCAAGCCAGACGAGACGCTTCATTCGTGTATCTATCTGCTAAAAGTAACTTATACTCGTCTGCAGCGAATAATTTTCTCCCGGTTTCTGGACAGTTTATCAACAGCAGCGGTTGCCCAAGACTATACACAAATGTCAGTGGCCCATACTTCTTAGCCCACTCATAAGTCAGTTCTACAAAGGAATCTGTCCATGTGGCCTTCAGTATTTCCCAGTTAGTGTTCCATTCCCGTGGTCCGGGTGGCAGCTTGTCTGGTGTCTTTTTGAAAAGCCAAGACACTATGAGATAAATTATCAGGGTGGACACTGCCAAAAGCAAAGCAGATTTCACTGAAAATGTTTCAAAAACTGCATACATTTTGATTTTTTTTTTTTTTTCAAGTGAAAATCTGTATAAAAGTCACAAATGCATCAGATTATTAGATTTTTCAGAAGATCTGCCTTTATCAATTAAAAATGAAGCAGAAGAAACTCTGTTACTATAACATTGTTTATCTTTCCGTCCGTACACTATGTATAAGATACAGCGAATTTGCAACAGCATTGCACTGCATCAAAATCCGCGCATTTATAGTCTGTCAACGTGTGCATTCTATAGTTCTTATTTAACCCCTCTCCGGCCTTTCTTACATAATATAACCCATCCTGGCAGCTGTATGGTAGTTCTTTGGTCTATTTATTTTGCTCTGCAGCAGAAAAATAAAACGTAAAAACAAAAGAGAAAGAAGATAAATCTTTACTTCTTCTTCCTCTCCTTCTTCTTCTTCTTCCTATTCTTCTTCTTCTTCTTCTTCTTCATCTTCTTCTTCTTCTTCGTCGTCGTCGTCTTTTTCTCCTCCTTCTCCTTACCCCTTCTCCTCCTCCTCCTTCTACTACTAATACTACTACTACTACTACTACTGCTCCTCCTTCCCCTCATGCTTCCTCATCTTCTTCTTTTTGTTCTTCTTCTTCTTCTTCTTCTTTTTCTTCTTCTTCTTCTCGCAACACTTCCAATTACCTAACTCAATTTATGAACTTACATTGCATAATTGTAAATCTAGATCCCTACAACCCCCCCCCCCCTTTTTTTTTCTCCCCTCCTTCTCCCCCAGACTTGTTTCGTTCTCATACACCGAGATTTTAAGATAGGCACTGGACTTGGTTCTTCAGTGTGTCTATAGAATGAGATTGTGTGAGGTGGTGGGTTGATGCGGTTAACTTCCCTTACATAATATTTGCACTTAAACAGCGCGAAACTCCTAAATATGAATACGACCATTGTTAGTTAAGATGGGCAAGATGGTGAGGCTAGGGGATGTTTATTTTACAGCTAACATTCAAACGGGGTTAGTTTCGGATATCCTAGAGTGGAAGTTGTGTTAAACTAGTCTGAATATGATAGTCCATTCAAGTATGACCTTCTAGGAATTTTTTAAAAAACGCTGACTGGTCCAGTCAACCGACAGTGACCTACTTAGTGCTTGTGGGAAAATAACGAGATTGAAAAGAAGGCTCCCTTCAAGGACATCGAGAGAAAAGAAAAAGAAGATCCTTGTTAGTGTCACAAAAGTAGCTAAGTAAAGCTCGTTTCTTTTTCTTGTGTCAAAAATCTAGGTTTATGCAGCTAGGCGTCGCGGGTTACTGTATGATCGGTATGCGAGCTAGCACACGCTTGGTTTCCCAGTATGCTGCGGTTTTGTGGAGTCTCAAGGTACTAATGTCCAGTGACTTCTTCAGTCCATTTTCTTCTTTGTCGTCCCGTACCTCTTAATGTTTCTACTTTCACGCTGTACGCTCTTGTTGCTGGCATCATTGGATATGTTCGCCCCTATCGGGGGCCCAAGGCCCCCCCCCCCCGCCTGACCCAGGGATTGTGCGGGGTGGGGGGGGGGTCATAGTCATATCATTCTACATGTAGACGGAAAGATATTCTTTGCCAGTCACCCAACCAAGGGGGATTAGTTTAAAATAAAAGGAACTTAAATGTTTTCGCCCCAAACAAACAGTGGTTGACTTTCATTCCTGCTTAGTGACCTTTCACACGCGCTAGTCAATGTTATAGGGGTATCACTTTGTGCTCAAAGTTCTGCAAGCAAAGTCATATCTCAGTGTAGCTGTAGACCAGAAGCACCTCTTGCATGAAGCCCTGTGTAGATCCAAGGGTCACAGACTGAAAAGAGGAAGGTCTTGGATGGCGCAAGCTGAAGACGCAATCAGACTTGTGTGCAGGCTTGATACATTTGTGCGAGGTGAGGAGTGGGTCAAAGTGTCAGAGCAAGTTTCAGACTTGTGTAGGGCTCTTAACACTTTGGGTCGTGAGGGCAGGGACTGGCTAGCTGGCGCTGCAGAATCAGACGTTCAACAATTGATTCATGATAATCCTCCCCCCCCCCCCCTCTTTTCAAGTGATGTGACTATCTATACAGATGGCACTGTGTTGAGGGACAGCGGAAGTGCATTAGGGTTGATAGCAAAGACGAATGGACGTCACTCTTAGCGCAACAAAGCCTGGCATATGATACCACAACGACTTGTTTGAGAACGGAGGTGGAGGCAGTCACTGCTGCCTTCCGCTGGCTTGAGAATCAGCTGAACACACATGCCGTGATTGTCACTGACTCACAGAGCATGTTGAGAAAGGTGAAGACATGTATGCTCCGTGCAGAGTGGCAGGCATCACTTCAGAGGTTCTGGGTAGTTGATATCCTTTGAATATTCTCTTCAGGTTATGCCGGTATGTTGGGAAATAAGCAGGCAGATAGACTGGCCGATTTTGAACTACTTATTGGTGAACTGATGTATAACAAACTAGACGTTGTGAGGGCCCTCTGGGAGCGAGTGAACAGTGCGGAAACTCAAATAGATCATTACGGTCTGAGGAGAATGGTGCAGCGAGAAGTTACCAGGGGATCTGGCTGGAACTCTTCGTTTGCTGCTGAAGAGGGGGACGGGCGCTTATAGGGATGTCCCGAGTGCTATGATGTCGATTCTCATTTCAACATTTTATCAATGTTTCCGCGAAGCAACTATATTCATGCAAGCAGCTAATACCGCTTCTTCCGGTCAGAACAGACGATAGGCATGGTCACTGTTTTTAATCATGGCAAATTTGCTTCTGACAGACAGTGGCTGTTGCATTTTCCTCCATGTGCAGGCTAAAAGTAGATAGTTTTGTTGCCCAGCTACTAAACTGAGTGCATGGCGCGAAACTATGAGCTTTGGATTTCATTTGGAATGTTTTTTTACTGCGACCAGTGTGGTGTTATGAACTGAGGATTGCGAGTGGCCTGTTGCCACATGATTTGTGATGCCTTGTTTGATTCAAACCAAGATTACCATGTTAATATTGTTTCTCATCAATGTTTCCGCGAATCAACCATGTTCATGTTAGCAGCTAACACCGTTTCTCATCAATGTTTCCGCGAAGCAACCGTGTAGTAGCAGCAGTAGCAGTTGTTCTAGAATATCCTATTCAACCCGCATGGTTATAACTGGGATATATAGTGTTAACTGAGTTCTCAGAATATATGTGTGTTATATTAAATTTATATATCATGTAATTACCCATATGACCAAAATGAAATTTGTATAGTTTCATATTTTGCTTTAATTTGGGTTCTGATTATGATAGATATTGTACTATAAATCAAATCATTAGACACTGACTTTGAAAAATCAGATAATCTTGACAGCATTGTGTCACTATCATGGTGGATATATTGTTTCCTTAGTGTGCAATCACTGATTTCTCTGCACGATTTTATCTTTAGGCGAAACTACTTCAAGGATGTCATGGACGTTCTTTGCCATTCCAAATATGGATTTTAGTCCCAGTAACAAACTGCTTTACCTTGTAACTGATAATGTTTGTAGCCAAATGTATCCGCGAAGCAACCATGTTACACATAAGCAACAAATACCGTTTGTAGTAGTCGATTTTTCCGCGAAGCACATGGCTTGTTGTCTATGGTTACGAGGAACCGCCCCCTCCTTCAAAAAGAGCTTGTGACTGACTGGATATATAAATCAGCTCTTGTTCTGTGATAGGTAAGGTGAAAATGGTTTAGTTGCTTATTTTTTTTTCTTAAATGGAATTGGAAATGACCGGTAATAGTAGTTGAGCGAAGCAAACGAACAGCTGAAGTCAACTAACTATACTTTTAAGGTGAGAAACAAACTGACGTTGAAACATCAATTTTTTTTTTCCTTGTAAACCTTTTCTTTGAGTAAATGAAAATGATTTACGGATTTATTATTACTAATGAATAAATTAGTATTTTTGGGCGTGATGTTTACTTCCGCTAGTTCGTACTCATCATCACCATGGGCGGTGCGCAGGGCTGGATTAGCCATTAAGAACACTAAGCACACGCTTAGAGCATCACGAAGGAAGGGGGCAGCACATACATTTTAAATAGACTTGAAACTTAGGTTATTTTCTCAGCTGAAGGTGAAGTATATTTTCGGGGCAACAATGCGACAAGGCAGGTTGAATGCTTTATCTCTATTAAGCACAGAAGCAGATATATTACGCAAGATAAGAAAGTTTGAAACTAAAAGTTGAGTGAAGTATAAAAAATAGACATTATTTTCCATCTAACAGTTTTGTTTAATTTCCTAAAGTCTTCTTCTTCTTCGCGTTCACAAGTTGTAAACTCTGGCATAAAGTTCTGGTTGTTTGTCCACTTCTGGACTCTAGTTCTGTTCCAGCACCTCTATTTTACATTTCACTACACTCAAAGGAAAGACAAGATGGACTTATAACCAGATTGTGACCGGTACCATCAGTACTGGAACTCTGCGCTGGCTGCTGAAGATGAGGACAGAGCATGCATGGGAATGCCCCGAGTGCTGTGATGTCAATTCTTGACTCAACTCAACTCAACCCATTTTACAGATATGACTCATATATATGCAGACTGTTGGTTCCTTGACTCTCATGCAGATGCACTCTGACTTCAAAGGAAGCACCCGGTTAATTTACTCTTATGATACGTTTTTAGGGAGTCAGTGAGTCTATTCCCCCCCCCCCCCCACAGTGGGGCCCTGGAACCCACATTGGGAAATTTCAATAAATAAAATTTTATTTCATAGTTTATTATTGTTTATATACTAAATTACATATATGGGAGCACTGGTGTCGTCTCAACACTTTTTTTAAACTTATTTTTGTCGTGGGCAGTTGTTACATTAACTCATCAGTCTAAATTGTTAGTTTCCTTCTTCTGCCCTATAGTTTCACTGTTATAATTTCTTTGAGCTCATACATGATCCCATCATCATCAAGTGTCTTGCTTACTGGCATGGGCGATCATGCCTTTCCACAATCTGAAATCTTCGGCAGCCTGTATCAGTTCCTGTGCTGACACTCTCCATGCCTTGACAAATGGCTGTCAAGAATCTTCTCAAGATGTCTTCCTCTCTCTCTTTTACCACGAAACTTTCTGGTAGTTACAACATGATTTGTTCCATCTTCTCATAACATAACACAGAACATAAGGACACTCTGTTTCTAATGTTTGTGATAAGTTTTCTTTGAGCCCTGGCCTTTTTTAAAACATATGGGTTGCACTTTTTTGGTTGTACAAGGAGTTCTAAGGATCCTTCAGTAAAAACGACAAAACATTGTCCACTTTGACATGAATTACAGGATGGTACCAAAAATGTTAATTAGTTGAATGTTTTAAAAACTTTGATTATCACATGCCAAATAAGAAAATGCACTTTTGTTTCCAGAATTCAGTTTCACACTGACCCTGACAGCAATCGTCAAAGTTAACAGTCTGGATCATGGCAGCACTAAAGGAAGTTTTGAAGAGATTCAAGTTTGACCAAGCGGAACTCAAAAAGTCACCAGTAGCAAATGTTTCAGCTGTCCCACTAGAAAACAACATTTATGAGTGGCATTGCAACATCAGACAAGATGAAATTATATTCCACCTCATTTTGTTTTTCCCTCAACAATATCCTTACCAGTCTCCCAGTGCTGAATTTGTACCAAATGGGTTTGTATACAACAGTGGTGCCACCAAACAAGGGAAAAAAGGGACACAAATTTGCTTGGATATTTTCTCTGATTTCTCAGATTATCACACAGAGTGGAAAACTAAAAAAGGAGAAGGGTGGTCTCCAGCTTACACCGTCCAGACAATTCTTATGAATGTTGTCGCCTTCCTGTCAGAAACTCAGGCTTCGGGCAGTTCCAGCACCACCTATGTCAACAATCTTAACCTGTCCAAAAGTTTTACCTGTTCTGATTGTGGCCACTGTTATTCATCTCCTTTCCCCTCTTTGGACAATGAAGTTATGCAAGGTAGTACACCTGTCAAAAAACACAGCAAAAGTGAACGGACAAAGGCCAAGGGTAAAGAAGACCTTTCAGATCTGCCAACAGAAACTGAAGACTTATTCCAGCTCATTGACTATATTTCCAAAGAGAAATTTAAAATCCAGAAGCCAGCAAGTGTTCAAGATATTTGGGGGTATGGCCTGGCTGTATCTGGAACAGCCTGGCGTCCAACATTGACTTCACCATGTGAATTCATCACTGGAAGATCATTTTACGGAATGGAAAAGGCCGCTGGAGTTGTCCAAAGTGTCTTTAAAGAGGAGCTGAAATTGTTCTTACCCTTGTTCATTCATCCAGTACATGGCTCAGGGATTCAAGAGGAATTTGAAAGAACTCTGAGAAAAGTGGGCAAACTGATGCCCAAGTACACTGACAAAACTCCGATAGAGGACCTGGTTCTGAAAACAATCCCTAACCTGCTGACTGCAACAGTAGTGGAGTTTTCTAAGGGAACACAACACACAAGTGACAACAGCCTCAGTGGCTATTTCGCTCTTCATAGACTCTTTCTGTGGGCAATAGACACATACCCCGGCTTGCAAGATAAAATTGAAGAACAAGTGAAGAGCTTTGTGGAAAATGAAGATGATAGATCCAAAGACAAAGTGCCATATATTGCTGAATGGCTGATGCTTGTGTCTGGATCCAAAAAGTACAGATGGAAAGATGTTGCTGGAGCTTATCTTAGTGAATCTTGGAAAAGAAATGTTATATGGTATGTGAAAGATGATGTAAAACTTGGACTTCTAGATACACCCAAAGAATATAGAATTAAACACACTTATGATTTGACAGAAATTGCTAGAAAGCATCTAGCTTTTCAGGCCTGTTTTTTGGATGTTGCCATGCCAGCTGGCATGTCAAGAAAGGAGGTACTAAAACGTTACGATGATAACCTTGGATTTCCAACCAGAGAAATGGTGGAAGTCATGAAAGAAGCTTTTGTGAACATTAACACAAATTTGAAAAATTATCAGGACTGGTTTCAAATTCTAAAATTATCTGTGCCCTCTGATGATGAACTCTACAGCATCATGGTCAGAGCTGTGCAATTTTCTATTGAATCACCTGGCTATCATTGGAAAGGTGGTAAAGGGGGTGGGTGGGTGATGGTGTTAAAGAAATACAGTGGCATGGTTCAAGAAGAAGAGGCTAAGAAGAAGAAGAATCAGAAACCTGGGGATGGTACAGAGGGTGAAGAATCCACAAGTACAAACAGTGTTGGTGAGGACAGCAATGCTGGTGGAGGAAAAACAGCAGCCGCGAAAGGGGCGTCACGTGGAAAGTCAGCCACTAGAGGAACATCACAGGGGAGAGGCAAGTCAGCCACCAAAGGAAAGAAAAGGAAAGCAGATTCTGATGATGATGATGGTGGTTATCAAGGAGCTTCATATGAAGGTCAGGGACAAAGCAGAGGACGTTCTACAAAGAGAAGTCGCAAGTAAGATTCTATTTTGCAGTGCCTTTGTAAGCTTTTCATCCTTTTTTTCTTCAAAATTTGTTTTAAATATGGTTTGCGATCACTCGTGTTAATTACATCGTATAAATTTTGAACTAATCTGTTATTTGTACATGGACATGTAAATAATGTTTATGTACAGTTCATTAAATTAATGATGATTTTGTAGTCGCATTGTACCAATATTACTAGTAATTGTAGTAGTATTAATAATGGTAGTAGTAATACTAGTGACACTAGTACTAGTTGTAAGAACAATATTAGTAGCACTCATAGTAATAGTAGTAGTAACTGTAATAGTAGTAGTTGTTGTGGTAGTAGAAGCAACAGAAGCAGTAGCCACTATAGCAGTAGTCATTGTACTGATTAATTGCAAGAGTAGCAGCAGCAGTTGTTGTAGTATGAGTAGTAGCAGCAATAGTAGTAGTAGTAGTTGAAGGAGCAAGAGTAATGGCTATAATAACAGTAGCAGCAGCAGTTGTTGTAGTATGAGTAGTAGCAGCAATAGTAGTAGTAGTAGTTGAAGGAGCAAGAGTAATGGCTATAATAACAGTAGCAGCAGCAGTTGTTGTAGTATGAGTAGTAGCAGCAATAGTAGTAGTAGTAGTTGAAGGAGCAAGAGTAATGGCTATAATAACAGTAGTAGCAGCAATAGTAGTAGTAGTAGTTGGAGGAGCAAGAGTAATGGCTATAATAACAGTAGTAGCAGCAATAGTAGTAGTAGTAGTTGGAGGAGCAAGAGTAATGGCTATAATAACAGTAGTAGCAGCAATAGTAGTAGTAGTAGTTGGAGGAGCAAGAGTAATGGCTATAATAACAGTAGTAGCAGCAATAGTAGTAGTAGTAGTTGGAGGAGCAAGAGTAATGGCTATAATAACAGTAGTAGCAGCAATAGTAGTAGTAGTAGTTGGAGGAGCAAGAGTAATGGCTATAATAACAGTAGTAGCAGCAATAGTAGTAGTAGTAGTTGGAGGAGCAAGAGTAATGGCTATAATAACAGTAACAGCAGGAAGACAACAGTTGTAGAGATTAGGACAAACATCATGGCATTGTTATTTTGAATAGTACCTGCATCAGTAGTAATAAATAGTACTGGGTGAGGAAGCCCCTGTAACAGAATAAGTAGTAGAAATTTTAACAAGAATATCCTGTTCAAACCACAGGGTTATAATTGGGTTGTAAAGTGTCCATCGATTCTTGGAGTTTATATTTTTTATTGTTTATATATAATGTAATTACTTATTTAAAACAGTTACGCAATTTGTATTTTTGTTTTAAATATTGTTTTGATTACACTTTTGGGGGGGGGGGGGGGGGGGGTTTTAATAGAAATTGTACTGTAAATATTTACATAATCTTGCTAACATTGTGTTATTAAAATAATAGATTTATTTTACCTTTAGTATAACCGTTCATTCTCCTTGTTGATTGTTTTTTTAAGGTAAATTCCTTCAGAGATGTCATGGGCATTCCCTATCCTTCTATATATGGATTTTATTTCTAGTAATAAATAAGGAGTGCCTCTTCTGTCCATCATATTCTTGTAACCTATGCTCTACTGGTATCTGAAGCTGCTTATTTATGCATTTAGAACAGGATCCTACTTTTAAGATTCTCTAATCTTTCAGTCCTAGGGGTTTAACATTAAAGACCCAATGTGTAATAAAGAGAGTGGCGCACTTTGTGTTCAGTGGGCTTCTAGGTAGGAACCTATGAAAGTATGATGTGTTCCTTAGGGCTGAAAGAGTTAAACAAGAAGTAATAATATATGCAATACTGGTTTCCTAACTTTATCTGATGACAGAAAAGTTAACTGAGTCAGGTTTTCCAATATCTGTTCAAGACCAGGCATCAGAAGAATGGGGGGGGGGGGGGGGGGGGGGGGAGAAAATATATGTTTTTAACAAGGGGTCATGAAAAATACAAAAGTTGATCACTGTACAACGTTTTGTTACTATTTTTAGCCTTCCTGTTCTGTTCATATAAATCTGTAAATAGCATAATCATGATACTGACCATCACTTCTTGTAAAAAGCAGATTTTGTTACTGACCTTCATATCCACTGTAAATAATTGATTTTTAATTTGACTAGCTAATTTTTAAAAATATTATATTGATTCTTACATTCCTTCTGTGTAAATTTTTAAATATTCAATTTTTATTTCAAATTCATTGGTTACTAGTTCACATAAACTCATTTATGTAAATGTATTTCCTAATATGGTGTATGTTTTGTGTAAACAATTTCATATAAAGAATTATATTAAATTTATCTTTTGCTTTGTTTTATACATAGTTTCATTAACTGCAATTAAATGTAAAAGTAATATATTGAGATTTTTATCTAAGACTAGGAAATGCAACATAAAAATGTAATGGCAGACTAGACCCTTAGCCTTTGCTGGCAGCTGGTCTGAAAGTGAAGCTCCAACAAGTGAACAGAGAATTGCTCTTCTGATTTGGTAGCTTCTTCAGCATGCTTTATTCCAAACATTTTGGTGTTAACTTTCCTATGGAGTTAACAAAGCTGGTCTAGAAGGGAAAGTCCAACAAGTGGACAGAGAATTGCTCTTCTGATCTGATAGCTTCTTCAGCATGCTTTATTCCAAACATTTGGTGGTAATTTTCCTATGGGGTTAGCAAGGCTGGTCTAGAGGGATCATGCTGCATGAGGTCTCTACAATACTGCCCAGGCTCTGTGTGTGGAAATTAGAAAATTAAGTACTGGCCTTACCTCTTTCCGTATCAAACAATTAATCGTGCACTTAGTCACTGCTTCTTACATAATAGGCTTCTCTTATCTCCTTATTCCTCATCCAGTCAGCACATTACCCCTTATAATTAAATTTTTTACTTGAAATCTTTCAGTCCCACAATGTCCTTTCTAATGTCCAAGAGAGTTTGCACGTGGTAATATTAAACCCATGAGTATACTACTTCCAGAAATGAGCAAACTGATCGGCTTGCAGGTAAAGTTACTGTGGAGGGTAGACAAGCCATGAACCATGCTGACACTCTGAATGCTCTACAAGAAGTAAGACATTTGCGAGAACCAAGTGATGACTGTGAATCTGCAACCATGAACAGACTGCAAGAACAGCATGTTAAAAGGAGTATGGCCAGAGAAGAGCACTATGCAGGAAGACAAAGAAGAATAAGAAATTAACACAGAAGTGGTGTGAACCGCTGCACTATGCATAATTTACTAAGGAGGGGATTCGAGCACCTATTGACTGAATGGTTCAATGTGGATAGTCTATCAGCTAACTAACTAACTTTCATAGGGGCCCAATATACAACCCTTGCAGGAAACATATGCTGTTAAAGTTCTTTGGAGTCCATCACTAAACATAAGATGTGAAACATATATAATATGTTGATTGGTACACTTGAATTTTACCCACTCACGCACAGCACATTGTTTGGGACACAAAGAGTTAACTCATTTTGTCCCATAATGTTATTATTTGAAACTGTTTAGACTCAGAGAAGTTTTACCTTAAACAGCAAATTTTTAGGGTATAAGAAGTTCTAACAGTGCTTTTCTGCTAATGAAAGAGTTGGCTGGTCTTGAAATTATGAGCAGATCTTGCTAGCCACACTTTCTATCTCATGCCTACTTATAGCCCGGTAGACCACTATCATCAGAAAAGATAAAATGTACCAACATTGATATTTATTCCCATACTGATGTGAACTAATTGAACTTTAAGGAGACACAGTCCTAACATTACTTTTTACTTCCATTCTAGTGCTGATTTTATGTTAAATGTTGAATTAAGAATCAACAAGAGATCTGTCCTCAAATTCAGCAGCAAGCAAAGAGTTCCACTTCCGGTGGCACCAGTAACTGTCTGATTGTATATTCATCTCTCCTTTCCCTTGAATGATGAGCATCTGCCAGATTCCCTGGTAACTCCTCGCAGCGCCATTCTCCTCAGTCTGTTATAATCTATTTGTAGCTCCTCACTGTTCACTCGTTCCCAAAGTGCCCTCACAACATCTTTCTTGTCATACATCAGTTCATAACAAAGTGGTGCAAAACTGACCAGTCTATCTGCCTGCTCATTTCCCAACACACCGGCATAACCTGGAGAAAATATCCAAAGGATACTAACTACCTGGGACCTCTGAAGCGATGCCTGCCACTCTGCATGGAGCATGCCTGTTTCCACCTTTCTCGGCATGCACTGCGAGTCAGTTACAATTATGACATGTGTGTACAGCTGATTCTCAAACCAGTGAAGGCAGAAGTGACTGCACCTCCATTCTCAATCTAGAGGCTGTGATATCATGTCAGGCGTTGCTGCATTATGTAACATCCATTTGCTTTTGCTATGAACCCCAATGCACTTCCTCTGCCTTTGTGCTATGAATCCCAAACATTGCATAATGTTTTCTCTGAGTATTGTCTCATTTTGTCACAGAATATTACAGAAATCTGCCTTACTCAGTGACCACTTCTGCTGCAAAATTCAAGTATTTGAAATGAATAAAGTTGTTAATTTTCAGTGACTGTGAAACATCTGCTATAAAAACTTAAGGGAAAGGGGGTGGGGGGGGGGGGGGGGTGGAATTGAAAGACTTGTGAAAAATGAAATAGTCATCTTCTGCAGCGTAAGGCAGTTATCAACATTTATTTATGATTCAGTGTAGCAAATGTTTCATTAAACACACTCTATACAAACATGACAACAAAATAATGCTTACAGGCCTCATGATCAGTTAGGCAAGAAAAACAGTTAGAACAATGCGAAGTTATTTATAAAAATATTCAAATTTCAAAATTTATGAATAATGTAAAGTTAAACACAAATATTAACATTTCAAGATGTATGAACAATGTAAATGTAAATGCTTGTACTACACCATCATTAAATGGGTAAATGTATGCAGTAAGAACTGAGTGCCCACATCAGAAGAAGTCAATCTGTATTCTTTGGTCCTTTCAATGAGAAGAAGAAAGCTGGAGTACATCATGACAG